ATGCCTGCCGGCATCCTTGCAGGCATTGCAATAAAATAGCTTCACAGAAGGTCCTGTCTGAAGAAAATTATTGAGATTTTTCTCACAATTTCGGGGCTCGTCCGGGATCTTGTCGCCTGCCGAAGTTTTCTTTCCATCACAGACAGGAAGGTGCACCCCACTGATTTCAGCGGTCCCATCGGGGTGGTGGGTTGTCTCGGTATGGCTGGCAAAGGACTGAGACTGTTAATCTGAAGACAGGCTCTGCGAAGCAGTGGGGAGAGGGGAGTCTAGCACTGACACAGTACAGGCATGGGGAGTACTGCTGATAACCCGGACCAGGAAGTCTGTGAATGGACTGAGGTAAGGCAAACTTTACCGTATATTGCCTCGGGGTGGGTTCAGGGAGACTCTTGTGTGGAGTGTGAATCAGACACACTTTTAGTGTGAAGTGAGTGCAGAGTCCCTATCCGCGGTTCCATAGTCCCACGGGGGGGGGGCGTGGATGGAAACTTATGAAGCAAAAGATAGACGAGCGAAAGAGTCTCAGGGTTTTGGGCCCTTAGGTGTATGGTACCCCGAGCACTGTGAGGTGCTTGGCAGTACACCCCACCTCTGTCCTAATCCTAGGTGAAGGCGTGTGGTACCCTGTGGGTGGTAAAGTCCACAGCAGCACACTAGGAAGAGCTGGGGATTAAGGGTTCCAAGAGTCAGCGGGGTAGGGATGGAGACCCTGGGATTGTGCCTAAAGATAGTCCTTTGGGGAGAATGACAAGGACTTGGAAAAACAACCCCAAAACTAGGGAAAAAGATTCTAAATTATATATATACATGTATATATATGAAATGGTTTGAAATTGTGTAATTGTCTGGCCTAAAAAGCAAATAAAAGGAACTTCAGTATTTTGGCCAAAATATGTGTCTGATGAAAATTCAGGCTTTGAATTTATATGTAAACAATAAGGTTCCTTTTTCAGAGGATGAATCAAGTTATGCTCCCTGTAATCCTAATATTGCACCGGAGGCGGCAGCAGCAGCTGCTCCAGGAGGGGAGACAGGGACTCAATCGATGCTGTCCCTGGAGAAGGAGCGCACTCTAGGCTCTGGCAAGAATTTGAACAATGTAGAAGAGAGATTGAGAGTTTTGCCTTCCCTGATACTAACAGTACTAACGCTAACTGTGTATCCTCTTATGAAGGTTCCAGTGGGACAAGGACAAATACTTGATGTGAACTCCCTTACCAGCAGAGAGGTTAGGAACTTTAAGAAGGAAATGAAGTCTTTAATTGAGGGCCTGGCAGAACAGTCAAATCCATTTCTAAGGCCTAATTTGTATTCGGGGGTGGGAGAATGTCCTGGTTTCAGTTAGAACAGAATTAATTTTCTTCCTAGTAGCTGGTGGAATGCTGTGTTTTGGCTTAGGATGAGAAGAGTGCTGATAACACCCCGATGCTTTAATTGTTGCAGAGCAGTGCTTATACTAAGCCAAGGACATCTCAGCCTTTTGCTCTGTCCTGCTAACGGGCAGGCTGGGGGTGCAGTAAGAGCTGGGAGGGGACAGACCCAGGACAGGTGACCCTGTCCTGTATATAGGATACAAACAAGTGATGCACAATGCAATTGCTCACCACCCGCTGACCGATGCCCAGCTTAACCCCGAGCAGTCCGGCCCCTTCCCCCCGGCTAGCCACCCCTAGATATTGTTTAGCATGACGTCAGATGGTATGGAATACCCCTTTGGCTAGTTTGGGTCACCTGTCCTGGGTCTGTCCCCTCCCAGCTCTTACTGCACCCCCAGCCTGCCCGTTGGCAGGACAGAGCAAAAGGCTGAGATGTCCTTGGCTTAGTATAAGCACTGCTCTGCAACAATTAAAGCATCGGGGTGTTATCAGCACTCTTCTCATCCTAAGCCAAAACACAGCATTCCACCAGCTACTAGGAAGAAAATTAATTCTGTTCTAACTGAAACCAGGACAGAGAAGAATGTCAATCTTGATTATGTTATTCACTGAAGAAGAATGTTTGGGGGGGGGGAATGATTCAGCGGGCAGCTATGCAAGAATGGGAAAGAACTAACACCCCCCCCCCCCCCCCAGACCAGGAGTAATACCAATATTTCTGCTCTATCTGCTTATCTAACTGGGATAATAACAACCCACAACACAGAAATCATGAAAGACTCAAGGCGAGAATTAGAAAGTCCTCAGGGATGAATCCTGAGGACCCGGTGGCCCAAGGGTTCTTTAAAGTTCATTTTGCGATTAAAGCCTGGCCAGATATGCAGAAAAAGCTCCAGAAGGTGGGAGGCTGGAGTGAACAGTGTAGGTAGTATGAAGGTGCATGCCAGGAGGAGAGGAAAAAAGTGCATTGAATAGGTTGTGAACTTGTAGTACTCAGACAATGAGGAAACAGGAGAAATCAGGTGTCGGGTAATAGGGAATATAAGGTTATGATAAACTTGTACTATGCGCGCCTGTTTGCAGGATGCCTGCTGTCCTGGTTTTAGCTAGGATAGAGTTAATTTTCCTCCTAGTAGCTGGTAGGGTGCTATGTTTTGGATTAGGATGAGAAGAGTGCTGATAACATGCTGATGTTTTAATTGTTGCAGAGCAGTGCTTACACCAAGCCAAGGACATTTCAGCTTCTCACTCTGTCCTGACAGCAGACAGGCTGGGGGTGCAGCAAGAGCTGGGAGGGGACAGACCCAGGACAGCTGACCCAAACTAGCCAAAGGGGGTATTCTATAGCATCTGATGTCATGCTAAGCAATATATAGAAGTGGCTGGCCAGGGTGGGGGGGGGGGGCCGGCTGCTCAGGGATAGGCATCAGTCAGGCGGTGGTGAGCAATTACACTGTGCATCACTTGTTTATGCACAGTAATAGTAGGAGTACTATCATCATCATCTTGTTGTTGTTGTTCAATTATTAAGACAGAAAATAAGAATAATGTCTTTATCTCAACCTACAGGTGTCATTTTCCTGATTCTCTCCCCCATCCCAGAGAGGGAGGGGGTAGGGTGAACAAGCGGCTGTTTGGTGCTTAGCTACTGGCTAGGTTAAACCACAACACCCGCCCTTGCAATCATGAATAAAATAGCTTCACAGAAGGTCCTGTCTGAATAAAATTGAGATCTTTCTCACATGTGTAGTGGGTTCATGTGGCAAGGTTTTGGTAGCAGGGGGCCATAGGGGTGGCTTCTGTGAGAACAATCTAGAAGCTGCCCCATGTTAGGTAAGGGCCCTGCTGCTGACTAGAGCCGAGCCAGTAAGTGTTATTGTTTGTGCCTTTGTGAGAGCACATTTTTCTTTTTCCCCTGTCTTAAAATGCTGTGCCACGCAGCAGCTGGGAGAGTGAGAGGAATGAGGAACAGCCTTGCAGGCGCCAAGGTCAGTGAAGAAGGAGGGGGAGAGGTGCTCCAGGCGCCGGAGCAGAAGTCCCCTGCGGCCTGTGGTGAGGACCATGGTGAAGCAGGCTGTCCTCCTGCAGCCCATGAAGGAGACCATGGTAGAGCAGGTGGACCTGCCCTGAAGGAGGCAGGGGCCTGTGGAGGACCCCTGCCAGAGCAGATTCCGGACCGGACCTGACCTGTAGCCCATGGAAAGGAGACCATGCAGGAGCAGGTGACCTGGCAGGAGCTGCTGCCCGTGGGGGACCCAGGTTGGAGCAGTTTGCTCCCGAGGGATGGACCCCATGGTACGGACCCATATCTGGAGCAGTTCTTGAAGAGCTGCTGCCTGTGGGAAGCCCATGCTGGATCTGTTTGGAAAGGATGGCATCCCATGGGAGGGACCCTACAGTACAGGGATGAGAGTGACTGAGAAGGAGCGGTGGAGACAAAGCACTATAGACTGACCATAACCCCTGTTCCCCTGCACTGCTCAGGGGGAGGAGGTGGAAGAGGGTGGATGGGGGGGGGAAGGTGCTTTTGTTTTCTTTCATTTGTTTCTCACTTCTCTAGCTTGTAAGATTTATTTAGGCAATAAATCTTACTATCTCCCTGTGCTGAGTCTGTTTTGCCCGTCACACTAATTACTGTGTGATCTCCCTGTCCTTATCTCAACCCTTGAGCCCTTTTAATCGTATTTTCTCCCCATTCCTCTTTGAGGAGGGAGAGTGAGAGGGCAATTGTGGTGGAGCTCAGCTGCCCACCCGAGTAAAACCACCACGACATGTAGGATGCATTGCTTCTTGTATGTGCTAAACCTACCCCTATGAACCAACTTTGTAATGATGGTAAATAGCTTTTCTGATCCATTTGCAAACTGTAATACTTGAAGTCCTTTACAGTTGTTTTACAATGCTCCTGAGTCTTAAATTAAATTATTAGATTGTAACTATACAGTACTGGGGTATTAACCTTATTTAAAATATCATTTTGTGTTAATGAGCTATGCTCATCCTTTATTAAGAAAAATCACTGTGATGAATGAAGGGGAACTTTCCTTAAATCAAAGATGGTTTCTTTGCCATCTCGGTGGGTGGTTACTTACCTTTGGATTTAATCTCTTCCAGAGACAGAACATGCGGCCTGAGGGAGTTCTGCAGTAGAAGTGGGAGAATACACTCCCCCTAGGAACAAAAAGCAGCTTTAGATACCGTTTGTGTTGCATGCTGTATAATGAAATCAGAGCTACTGTTACACACCCCCTATATGCACAGCTACGTCACCCAGGAAGAAAGTAACACTGAGAGGCTAACATCTCTGCCAAATGTACAATTGGGAAAAAAAGAAACAAAAAAAATCTCAAAACACATGATAGCTGGAGGCCTTATCTTAGGTGCCATCATAAATGGTAACCTACTCTTATGAATAAATTCACCCATCTAATGTTCTCCCAACAATTCTCAATCTGTTTGCTGCCTGGAGTATGTATGGGAGATTTTTGGCCTGTAGTTGAAGGCAAGTTAGGGAAGTGAGAAATCTATAAGTAAAATCCTGTGAAATAATTTCCCATGAAGATTTATGACAGTGTGAGACTGATTCGCAGAAGAACTCTGCAACTCAAAGCAAACAAGTTATAAAGTAGATATATGGTTTATTTCAGCACCAGGCGTATGCGGGATAGCTCCCAAAGGCATTACGCAACAATTCATAGAATTCGTTCACTCGCATTCTCTTTTATCCCCTAAAACGTTACATATGCATTAAGTTTTGCAACATATCTATGCATATTCATTTCCTAGCTCCACCTAGCCCTGCTTCATATGCTAGTTGTCTTATCAGTCCTTCTGCGCTTGCGTAGTACTCTCTGGTGGTCGTCCGGGTGGTCATTGGGATGAAGTAAGATATCTTCATCAGGGTTGAACTTTTCACCTTGTCTTCTTGCGCATGCTCTCTGAGTCCTTGGTTACAGTACAAACCATAATGTTGATTTGATCTGGTTCTTGAGGTCTGAGGGGCTCCTGTTATCTCGAGGCCTTGCAAGTTTGGCATTCTTTTTCTTGTCTTTTCACAAACACTTCTCTTTATCTCTGAGCCCTTGGTCACAATACAAACCCTAAGGCTGGTTTGATCCGGTTCTCGGAGTCCCAGGGGCTCCTGTTATCTCGAGGCCTAAGCGCAGCACAACCACAGTACATCGCAAATGTAGCACATATTAAGCAATGAGTGTTGCCTACATATTCATTCTTAATCAGTCGCCCTCTAATTTCTAACCCCATATCTCAGTACCCCCTTTTCTAGAAAATCTAGTAAATTCTTTTACTTAATACAGAAATTCTTCTTCCCAATCTCTATGATATGTATCCCTCAATGCCTTGCCATGTACTTTCGACAAGAAAGCTAATATCGCCATTCGTTGTAACAATTTCCAATTCCAAACAAGTATTACAAAAGACAATACTAAACTTATACCAACTAACATCAATAAAACAATAATTGGGTGACCCAATGTGTTCAAAATCCCAGTTGCAGTTGGCAACCATCCAAAGAGTGCATCCCACCAGTTGTGATTTGCGTCTTGTTTCACTCTTTGCAAAACTCTGCTTATTTCCTTCATATCACGATAGACAATGGTTAGAGTGTTCTCCCCATTTTCCTGAATGCCTTTTAAAATTTTGATCAGGTCTTGGTGTTTAACTAATTGCATCACTAGGGTGAGGTTCATCCCAATAGGTGTAGGTAATAACTTGTGATACATTGTATTGTTAGACTTGATCAACTAGTGGAATACCACTGGTGCCAAATACAGAAAAATCACACCTGACAATTTTCCAACTAATTTCTAACCCCATGTCTCAAGACAATAGAACAAAAGGGGACTGTTGCTTCTCCAGAGGTCCGGGAGCATGCTGGAGAGCATCGTGACACTTAAAAAAGCAGCTTCACAGAAAACCATGCAAAGAAAACATTGGAAGAAACAGAAAATAACTGTCTTGCCAAGCAAGAGAGAAGGTAAGAGGGGGACAGTGATGAGTCCTGAAAGGCTGAAAAAATGATTTAGAATTTCCAATAAAAAGCTTGACAGGCACCTGACTGGTTACTTGGCCATGATTATCAGCAGCAAAGTCTCCAACTTGGGTAATACCGCAGCACTGCACAGACTCAACTTTTTTATGTGACTCACCTCACGTTTTATGACTGGCTGAAAACCAGTGGGTTACCAGCAATCCAGTTTCTAGCCAGATTAGCCTAGATAATGCTGATTTTCTACAATAATTCCAAATTCTTCTGATCCCTTGCACTTTCCACCTTGGAAATATCCCAAACCAACCGGAATGTAATATGTTTGGCACATCAAGATGACCTTTAAGGTTCCTTCCAACCCAAACCATTCTATGATCAAGGTTCTGATTGCAGATTAAAACAACAAACTAACCAAGTTTACCAGGCACTATTAAACTGAATTTCATTGAAAATGATTACTTTTGCTTCATTAAAAAGGCATGCAAGCCTCTGTTGCTAGAGCTGCTCTGATTGTGATGATTTAGTGAGTCTCAGAAAGGAAGAATTACACTAACCATCTAATTGCTCTTAACAAGCTTTCTGCTCCAGCTCTTGTACTACAGACCTGTAAACAAATACTACGAAAAAAGACTAAAAATTAATCAAAATCAATCAAATCCAAATCCTTTGGAGGTGACACAGATGCCATTTTGGATAGCAAAAGTCTTTGAAGTTCTCAGTCTTTTAGGATTTTTCTCTCCAAACTGACTCAAACTCTCTCTGCCAAGCTGTGTACTTCTGGCTCAGCTTTTTTGCCGATGGCTTGGTATGGGCAATCACATCTAGGAAATCTGCTGTTGTGATTGTGTCCAGTTGGATCACAGGTAAGTTACTGTTACCTAGAGAAAACAGATCAAATAACATTATTACTACCAAAAGATATTCTTTTAAGTCTAACATATGACTTACTATATAAAAACAGTAGAATGAACCTAGAGAGATAAAGAGAAATTCATATTTATGCACAGATACTGACATAAAAAAGGGCTAATTTTCAGAAACATTAGCTTTAGTAAATGTTTTAGAAATGGAGTTTAAAACTTCTCTAAGCAGAAAGAGATCCACCTGCTGGGGTTAATGTAATTTCTAGAGTTACAGCAGTGGATCAGCATTTCCCAGATTAGATTCTCTAATAAAAGCTGTGGTACCTTGCTGATGGTTTTCAAGAGCATCAAAGATTTTCCTCACTGTTCTCATGGTTGCTTCCTTGCACACGAGTTTGATGTCAGAACCAGAGTACCCATCAGTTTTCTGTGACAGAACCAGAACAATACATTACAGCTTACAGCCTTATAAATCAGACAACAGTGGCATTTACAAGCATATATGTTTTATGTGTATTTTTATAAAGTATCTGTAAATTCTATTGCTGTCAGAAATATATCATAGAATATAAAATCAGGATATCCAGAGTTGGAAGGGACCCACAGGGGTCCTTGAGTCCAACTCCTACACACATTATATATGTATACATAGATACATATGTGTATATGTACATATATATATATGCACCTTCCTACAAACCCCTTCCCCACCCCAACATTACGCTGGTTACTCTAGCTTTGAATGTCCACAGTACCTTTCAGGTGCAAAGGAAATACTGAGCATTTTCTTTCTAAGTGACAATTTTCTGTAGGTCAACTAAAACTCACTTTTCTGTGTCTGTTCCCAGTTTTCCTGTTAACAAAATAACTACATTTCCTTATTTATAAAACAAAAACTGAGCAGAATTGTCTCTGAACAGAAGAAAAGAGACAACTGGGCAAGCTGTAGATATTTCTAAATAATTTAGGATGTGACAAGGGGCTAAATAAAGCAAGCCTGATTTCCTAGTGAATCTCACTCTTGTCTGAAAGCTGGTTTCTCCTGCTGCAGTGGAGCTGTGACAAACCTTCCCTACCCAATTAATTGTTCATTACCCCAGTGAATTGGAAGTGCTCCCAGCCCAGTAAGAAGAGTGAGAGAACATTCTATTGCTGTAAGTCTCCCTGTATTTAAGGCTGAAAAATTGGCCCAACAGAGAGGATCAGAAAACATGACTCTGCAAGCAGAGCTGTGTGGAACCAGTGATTTCCACAGCCAGGCGTGTACCTATGATATGCTCAGCCCTGCCTCTCACTAATTTCTGGCTGGCTGGAACTTCAGACGGACCCAAAGTCCTTCCCCCAGCCTTGTATGTCGCAATTGCTGCATACAGAGAGGTGCTGTCCCTACCCTCTGCCCTGGACCTCTTCCACCATGACACAATCCCATCACTGTCGACAGTACATGTCACTCTTGCTTATGTTTCCCACTCTGAAAATCCCCAAGCTGCTGCAGTGCTGTCTCACCTGTCCCAGCAAGCTGTAGTCCAGATCTGTTCTCAGCTCCACTCCTCTGCTGTTGCTCAGAGAGGGCAGCCAGTGCTTGATCATTGCTCACCACGCCTCTTTACTTGGAAGGTCGACCAAAATCCACTTCTCTAGCTGCCACAGCATGTCAGAATCCAACTCCCTGCAAGCAAAGCAGAAGAGGAATCATTTCAGTGCATCTCTTTGCAGAGACAGTTTTCACAGGAAGCTCCTCACTACAAGGACTGACAATTTTCAACCCCACCTGTAGCTGTGCCAACCTAGTTTTGAAAAAATAGATTAATTATCAAGTGTATTCCTGTTCGCTGTGTTAGCAATATACTAGCTTACGACAACAAGGCTTAACAACAGCAGTCAGAAGTTTTAGTTATCTTCTCTGGTACTTGTGTGCAGCATGTCCCATCAGTCCTCACCATTTCTCCCTTTGCTATTAAGGAGACACTACAAATTGTCTGTCTGGGGTAATATGTCAGGACTAATTAATTGCTGCTTTGTAAGGGATGCTTAAAATATAGACAGAAACACAGACTTTCAATCTGGGATGCAAGGACCACGTTCATGGCAGAACAGGAGCTTCATCTGAGGCTGCTCCTGCAATGCAAATTATATATAATACAGCCCCAAAGGACAGTATCCTTGTAAAAAGGAGCATGTGAAAGATGAACAGGCTGGATCAATGTGCCAATGAGCCAAAACGTCTCTTGACATCAGCTCTGATAAAGGTGTTTGGCAAAAAAAAAAAACAAAAAAAACCCCACAAGACTGAGAATACTCCTTATTTTTACTTGTTTGTGGTGCACAAAGAAAGCTTGAAAGAAAAAAAAAAAAGCATTTCATGACCACTTAGATGAAGTCTTTCTTGACAGTGCCCCAGATGCTGTCAGTTTGCAGGAGTCCTGGTACGCCTGGCACGCCAGCTCCGCAGATGCACATCATTTAATGGTCATTTAATCTAGCCTTCTATCAAGTGCTCTTCAGTTGTCTGCATCTAACAGTGACATAACTGAACACAAATTTCTTCTCTGGTTCATCTCTTGTTACTCATATAATGGGAACAATCTACAGGTACCCCAATCATCCATACAATTTTCAAGAAGAAATAGCAGCTACAAAGTATTTACTCATAAGTCTCCAGTGTCTTCCAGGAGCTGCTCTGAGCTATTATCCTTTCAAATGCAGTACCAATCTTTCTCCAGTGGCCCCATTCAGTCACTGAATTGTTATTTCAGTTTAAAATTTAGTTCCCCATGCTTGCCAAGAAACTCTCATCAGGGAGAAACTCCCTTCAATGTGTCTTGTGCAGAGAGGAAAAAAAAAGGAGCCCTAAGCACCATTTCCACCCCTGCCAGCTGAGCAGAAAGAGCCAGCTGCTGGAGGTACACTTAAGCCTGCCTCTACCTTTGATGAAATCAAAGTGAAATCCTTTGGTGAGGATCCTTGGGTGAAATCCTTTTGCCAGCAAAGCCAACGTACAAGCAATACTTCTGGTATAAAACCCCTCTTGAATTTACAGGGAGCTGACTGCCAGCTCAGGACAGACCTGGAGCACACCAACAAAGCTTATTTCTGTCACCTTCGGTGACTTGTATTTATTTTTTAATAGTATCTTCTACTGGCACACAACATAAGAAAAGGAAAAACAGCCTCCCAAGTAGGTGCTGTCGTTCAGCTCAGTGGGATCAGAAGTGCCTCTGTTCCCAGAAAGAACCTCTCAGTTTTGGAGAGCTGAGTCAATGGCTCAGGATGAGAAAACCAGATCAATAGGCTCTCACATGCCAACAGAATTCACTCAGATCCTTACCAGTACTTCTAATCAAGGCCTCCGATGTAAATACCAGAGCTTTGCTAATCAATGTCTATTGGCATATTGATACCATTACTGAGATTTTAGGCTGCTTAAGAGGCTTGCTGAGCAGCCATGGGGCTTCAGCCTATGCTGTGCAACACCCAGTGCAATGCCTCTCACACAGGCTGCAGAATGGGCACAGGACCATTTTGGTCCCCCCTCACCTTCCAAATGTATATTTCAGCAACTTCTCAGAATTGCTCTGCTAGGCTAGAAATTAATTACTCTGCAGCTGACCACCTGCTTGGCTGTTATTTACCCACACTGCCTTCCTCCATGTACCCAAACAGAGACAAAGTTCTCAGGGTTTCAGAGGTGACCACACAGGTACTCTAACTGCTCTTTCAGGAGAAGGACAACCACAGCCAGAGTCCCTGCAAACACCCCATGAATCCACCGAATGTGGACGTTTTTCACCACTTCAGAACACTATTGGGCTACCCCTTGAAATCACAGCTTCACGAGCTCCCTAGCCATGCACAGAGGAAACAACCTTGCCCTTAGTGGATATTAACACAGCAAAAGCACAACGCCCAAGAGGCACTAGGCTCCCAGGCAATATTTCCAGCTGTTCCTCCTACTGCTTTGTTTTAGTTCTGCAGAGATGCAAGCAGTGAAATAGAGGTCTAAGAAGTGCTCCCAACACAGGGAACAGCTCTGTAAATGAGCCCACTGATACATACAAGTCGCTCTTTATCCAGAAAGGTTACAGTGACCCTGCTTGTTGGCTAAAGATGAAAATGAAGACATGATATTTTTGTTATCTTTAAAGTGTTTAGGTTGTTTGCTAAATTGATTTGTTAGTGAAAAAATGCAAGGTTAAGTGACAACAATAACCAGAACAGAATAATAAGCACTGTGCCAACCAAAATATTATGGGCTATTATTTCAGATAAAAATATTAAGAAATGCTCATGGAAAGAACCTCTATAGTTGGAAGAGGGTGACTTTTGGGAGCTCTCCCAGGTTGACATCACAAGGCATCATGTCTCATTATCACTGCCACATTTCATGGAGGTAAACAAGGCAAACAGCTATTTTTGTTTCCAGGAGGAATATTAATAAATGCATTAAGCAGAAATTAAGAGACCTCAACACCTCCAAAGGTGAAGCCAGAAACAGCAACAAGAGCTCACTGATAATCTACTGGGATCTACTGGGATCATCACCATGGTGTAGAAGATGAAAAGGTACCAAGAACAGCAAGCTTCTCATCATCCCACCTCCTGTCCACCCATGCAGGTGGCCTGAGCAGAGCCACAACAGGCTGAGGACTTGTTCTAAGTCCACGTCTTCTCCTAGGGCTTCCCCACACTGTCCTCCTCTGCTCTCCTTCCTCGCTGTCCTCCACCGTACACACCAGGCATGCACTGCTGGGAGTGAAGGGAAGGGGTGACTGTGGGGGTAATCCCAGATGTTATTTTGGGATTGCAGCCCACCTACCCTGTGGTGGTTTTACTCGAGTGGGCAGCCAAGCTCCACCACAACCGCTCTCTCACTCTCCCTCTCCTCAAAGAGGAAGGGGGAGGAAATACAACACAAAGAGCTCAAGGTTTGAGATGAGAATGATTTAATTAAAGGGAAAGGGGAGGAAAAAAAAAAAAAGGCCGCACAGAAGCACAGAGAGAAAGGAAAAAAAAAAAGTTATTCTCTACTTCCCATCAACGAGCAATGTTCGGCCACGTCCTGGGAAGCAGGGCCTCAAAACACGTAACGGTTGTTCAGGAGGAACAGCCCCCTCCCCCATGAGAGCCCCCCCCTTTTTATTGCTGAGTGTGACATCAGGTGTTATGGAGCATCCCTTTGGTTGGTTTAGGTCAGCTGCCCTGGCGATGTCCCCTCCCCATCACTTGCCCACCCCCAGCCTGCTGGCTCTTGGGGGCTTGGAAGGAGTCCTGATGCTGTGGCAGCACTACGCAGCAATAGACACAACACTGGAGTGATATCAGTGCTGTTCCAGCTACGAGTGCAGAGCACAGCACTGTGTGGGCTGCTGCAGGGAAAAGGTGACTCCAGCTCAGACAGACCAAACACATCCCCTGACCCCACCTTGGCCATGTGCTCAGGGATCCAGCACACCCCAGCTCTGGCGGAAGGGAAGAATCTATCAGCTGCCACCAAAGCTTCACCCACCCTGACGGTGGAAAGGGAATAGCAAGCAGCACTGCAATGGAAGTTAAATACGCTAATACATTAGGAAACATTCACTATGTGGTTAAGGACCACTTTATTTCTTCATTAACAAGGCCTTTATTGTACGTAATTATGTTGAATCACTTCAACAAGGAATTTGTCAATAGGAAGTGCCTGGCTGATAAGCAGGGGGAAGCAAGGCTGGGCAGAAAGCACTGCCTGAAGAGGAAGATCAATAACTGCAGTGCAGCTTAGGACAGCATAAAGAGCTTTGTTTAGGCTTCTTTTCATTCATCTAAAAGCAGCTTGGTACTTTTTTATGATCAATAAATATCCAAGTTAAAAAAATCTCTTGAAATCCAGCTTAATACCAAATGTTTGCAAAAACACAGGGCCCTGCTGTGAAGCAGAAACCTCTAGATTGTAAAACTAGGTATTTTGAAACTTTGTTATAAAATAGCCCTACACAGCTCAAGCCTGGGATCTTACAGTAAGACTGATGGTAGCCAAGTACACAAAAATAATCCATAAACACACAGGTGAGAGCTTTAAGGGGGGCTCAAACTCCACCAACCTTTCTGGAAGCAAACATTGCCAAACTCCTCGAGGCTGTCAGCCTCAATAACAATATAAGATGCTTCTAGATTTCACCTTCCTAAAATACCTAAGTATATACTCAGCTGTATTTTAAAGCATCAGCATTTTAAAGCATCTCCACTCAAGGCACAGCATTGCCAGACATTCATAGGTTGAATTAACTCAGAAGAGGGAAAAAATCCCACCTTCCCACGAGCAATGCTGAAAACGTCTAAAAAGAACATCTAAGCTCTCAGGTATCAAACTTTCAGCAGTAGGAGCTGGCTTCCCACAGCAGCTCAGCTCCCACCCTTGTACCAACACAGATTGCCATCTTTCTGTGGGAGCAGCTCCTCCGAAATATAAATCTTGTCATTTTGGATCTACCTGTGTCATTTTCTTGATGTTTCAAGGGGGCTATTTTGCAGAAAGTAGCACTTCAGAACTGCAAAATGATCCAAATCCAAATGTGTAAAACATTCAAAACTCCAGCCTGTAACTTCTGCTCGGCTTTCCAGAAAGAGATGCATGGTAACAAGACACGCAGGAATCCCTTTTTCTGCAGAGGTGTACAGAGACAGGTCAGCCTCATGCTTGCATTAACACATCTCCAAGATCCCTAGATCCTGCACTATGGAAAAGGAATTTGCAGATGGCTTTGCGTTGTTTCACATGTCCCTGAATTAGAGATAATGAGGAAATAAATGGTAGAAACAAAAACTTGAGCAAGGTCAAGATAAATTAACCTGGCTGCAGTGTTAAACATTGTTATAAATGGCTCAGGATTCAAATTAGGATTAAATAAAAAAATAGGATTTATTAAAAGAATATAAAGGATTAGAGGTAAGCAAACGGCGCTGGGTGCACTGGGAGTCTCCGCTCCACCAGGACGCACACCAGTTACATCAAGCAGCTGATTTTTATGCTCCTAGACTAATACATATTCATTACTACTTCTAAAAAAATAGATTATTATAATTAGCTTCCGGGGTCCAGTCCCTCCTACTGGAGCATGCGCATCAGTCTCCTCTGGGGGTCTCTAGGGGTCTTTCATGCTGAAGACTCGTAGTCTTCCTCTCACCTTTGTACTCACTCGGCACAATTCCAAGTTTATAGAACACTTTCTGCAGGTCTTGTCTCCCAACCGTCCTTCAGCTTCTTTTTCCTTCCTCTTAATCTCTTGGCCCCCTGGCCAGATACCAAAGATCCACATAGTATCCCATAACAGTCACTAGTTGTTATCAGTTGTTCTGAAACTCCCAGACATCAAACACAAACAGCTTTCTTATTTGACGCTTCACGAGTAATTAAAACATTCTTCCCCAGCCATTCACAGACACATCTATAGCAGTGTTAAGTTAATCTCAAAGAAGACAGGAAAAAAGGCTGTAACTGTTAGAAACAGAAGTCCAGAATAACAAAAGCAAACAGGTTCATAAATTTAAGGAGTGTTTTCTGAAGACGTGATAAATTGACTAGAATGAGGGGGAGACTGGGACACACTGCATCTGTGGTTCAAGAATTAAATTGCCAGTGCAGGGCCCAGAGGCAGACAGGACTGTTCTTTATGGACACGAATTGTTAACACATTCCTCACAACATGAGCTTTGCGCAGTGGCCAATTGCTGGCTGGCTTAAGGCACCCGTCTGAGGGTCTCTAACCAATTGTATAACAGATTTGTGCACGTGGACAGGGCATGGGGCTATGGGTAAAGTATATGTAGCAGTGAAAAAAAGGCAATAAAGGTCTTCTGTTCAAGAGCCATCAGGAGTCCGTGTCTTTCGTCCCTGCAAATGTTGACCCCGACGTGATCAGGAAGAGAGCAACAATAAGAGAAGCGTCTGAAGGGACCCCCCAAATGACTCAAGCTGACGGCAGGACCACAGTGTTAATCCCAGGATGTCACCTCAAGAAGCAGGTGAGTGGCTGGGGCATTAACTATGGGAGCTAATTTATCGGCTGAGGAGGCAGCGATAGCTAAGCTACTGAATCAACTCCTGGTAAAAAGAGGAGTGAAATATGACCTATATAAAGTGAAACAATTGCTAAAGTTCTTATGAAGAATGGGGCCCCAGCAACAGCTTTGATGGCGTTTGATGTAAAAACTTGGGAAAAGGCGGGGACAACTATATAGGACACTGCCTCGTGGGGAGATGCAACAGCTGCTGAGGTGATGACGACCTGGCACTTAGTAACTGAGACACTGAGATCATGGCAAGCAGAAAAAAGGGAATCAACAGCAGCCGCTCAGGCTATGCAGATGGGTGAAATAAAAAGCGGTGACTGTGTACCGCCAGAGGAAGCAAACCTGACAGACTTGGGAACAGAGGCAGAGACAATGTCTCAGCTGTTAGCGCCGCCACTGCCACCACCCACAGTCAGTGGCACCACCCGCAGGGGATCCTTTTGACCCCCAAGATCATTGGAAACAACTTCAGAGAGAAGCAGTAAAAGGGGTGGGGAGGGGCGTAGGGCTCATTTTTCCAGTCTGAGTTTGGGATCACAGGCAAAATGACTGGAACCCCTTCCAGTGGGACCTTATTAAAAAACTGCATAAGATGGTGACCACTTGTGGGTTATTGGCCCTGTTTACACAGTCCCTGCTGGAGAATGTCATGACAGGACAGCTTTTAACCCCCTTTGACATATGACAAGTGGTGGTGATGATATTACCTCCAACACAAAAATTTTTATGGGAACAGAAATGGAAAGAGTTGTGCAAACATGCAGCGCTCCAAAATTTAGAAAGGCAGCCGGGGGATCCGCTTTTTGGGTGGATCCGATGGCGGATCTGCACCTTCAAGCAAATCTAGATCCAGGCATCCTCCGGCTGACTGCAACCCTAGCCCTCCAGGCACTGTTCAGAATTCCAGAGACCGGGAAGTCCGCACAACCTTTTACAAAGGTCCAGCAAGGGATGTCTGAACCATACATGCAGTTTATTGATGAGCTTTGCAATGCGTTAGATAAGCAGATTGACAATCGGGAAGCAAAAGACGCTTTGCTACAAAGGCTAGAGGTATAAAATGCAAATACCGACTGTAAAAAGGTGCTATAGGCTCTGCCTGTGAATGCAACACTAGTTCAGATGATACAGGAGTATAACCAAGTGGGTTCTGATATAAATTAGGACTGAATTCTATCTGAATTTTGTAATATTTATGAAACAAATATTTCTAAAAGGTATAAAAGGCAAATAAACAGCGCTGGGTGTACGGGGAGTCTATGCTCCACCAACACACACACAAACATCAAACATTCTAAATACATATATACAGAACATTGCTTTACATAATAACCCGAGTATGCCTATACATACATACAATCAGGATAAGTAACAAAAAATCCTTTAAGTTCCATAACAGTTTCCATTTTCCATTCTTCAGGCCTTATGTATCCCGTTCTTCCCAGATCGGAGAAAAGCAAATCCATCTCCTTTTCACAGCCAATAGGCCTGTGAGAAACACTCCGTAGCCAATAACTTAGGCTCAGGCGAGGATCTCAGTGAAGTAGTAATTTATTCGCGATTGCAAGGGCGGGCGCCCCACAAGCAGGAGAGAGCGCATCTACTAGTTCCAAAACACAGTTTATATACCTTTTGATGGCAGGACCCTCCCGTTTCCCCACTGAGTGGGTAATCCAGGTTCACAATCTATCTGATGCTTCACAGACAATGCATGGCCTTCAGTTGCCGGCCTGTTAAATTTCAATTTTCTTTTGACATTTTTACTGCTTGAAGTGGTAATGTTTCTTCACTTATCTGACTTGACACCGTGATTTTCACCTAATTGTCCTAAGGAGTCTGGTTGTCTGCATTTTACAAGGTCGCCTGCAAAGCTTTCTGATCACTGTAAGCATGTCTCAGTACCACATTCCCTCCTTCTAAACAATGTAACTCTGCAAAAACAACATTTCTATTCCCACAAGCCTGGGTCAAAAGACACGTCCAGGTCAGCAGGGGACGTAACAGCAAAAGCCTGTGATGGCTGTAGCAGCAGAGGGGCCCATGGCATAGCAGTCGGATCAGTAAAGGATCCCGCAGCTCCCTCACTATCTGGCAAACCACACGTTTCTGATTGTGGCCCCACATGGCTCTTTAAGGCCTCAGAGACTGCTCGCCAGGTGCCGAGCAATCCCACTGCAACCTTGCCATTTTTAGTTGCAGAGTCCCACACCTTGACCTCAATTTGGTCCCATATTTCAGGCTCATAAACTGTCCAATTGTTAAGGAGAATGAGCTGTAAGGTTACCAGGACAGTCTTTGTTCCTAAGGACGTATGATTCCCCATAGCGCGCAACTGCTTACCAGCGAGAGGCAGTTGTGTGCACTGGTCCGCTTCTCTCAGCTCAAGCTTCTCTCCAGTTCCAGTGCTGCCTATTTCCAGCGATGAGCTTCTGTGAGCAGTTTGCTGAGTTTGGCCGAACCTATCTTCATGAGGCGATCAAAGTGCCTGTTCTTGTCCTGGTCTCCATTCTGCCAGCCTGTTCCTCTTCACTTCTTTTTCCTGCTTCTTTATTGATGCAACTTCATCGTGCTGCCTTCTTTTTTTATCTTGAGGACAGGCTCCCCTCTTATACCCTTCTCTCCACAGCAGTTCTTTTCAAAACAACTTTTCATTGGTCAAACAACTTTGAATGTAACAGCAACAGCAAACACCCAGAAACATCCATGCCTTAACGGCTGGAGAACAAGAAACCGGAGACTGCCCGGAGTCTCCTGAATCACCCTTCTTTGTTCCCTCTAAACTCTTTTACATTCCTGATGGCCTCGTCGTTAAGAGTCTAATGTTATCTCAATCATGGAGTTTTCCAACCCCCATGGCCACATTCCTAAATCTCCCCCTTCTTTATTAATATCAACCATTTTCTCGACACGAATTACCACTCCATATATAACAGTTCTATCGAACATCATACCGAATCGCTGGCGTCCGCTTTTGCAACAGCAGTCAAGACCCAATGGTCAGAAAAAATACTATAGGTGTGGAGACCCGAGCCACCTAATCTTCGTATGCCCCTGGCGGGGTCGGGGGGGCGGCCCGCCGGCATTTCTACCCACTTTGTGCCAATGCCGCTCTAAATACAACGCGGAAGGGCAGCCTTTGCCGTCGCGGCAGGGAAACGGGAGGAGGAGTGCAGGGCGGGGCCGCGCGACGACACAAGCACCCACGCCTCCCGGGTCAAAGGAGGAACCTCCCACAAGGGAGGGCTCCAAATGCAATGATGACGCAGGGTCCAGAGCCACCTGCTGCCCCGTTGCCACGGTTACCACCGTGGACACCCTCTCAGCAAGAACCAGAGGGAGTGCCGGAGTGGATGTCTCCACAGTAACAGACGCCACCTTGTGGGGTACTCACGTTCATAAAATTCCATTGAACATCAAAGGACCAATTGGGAATGACTGTAGTGTATTGCTGCTAGGACGATCAAGTACAACTTTGACTGGATTGTTTGTTTTGCTGGGGATAATTGATGCAGACTATAATGGACAAATCCAAGCTATGGCTTGGACACCGTCTCCACTGTTGTCAATACCAAAGGGAACTAGAATTGCTCAACTGATTCTTTTCTGAGCAGTAGTCTGCAGGAGTTGGTTCAAGAACAACTCCAACAAGGACATATTGTTCCAACAAACAGCCCATGGAATTCACCAGTGTTTGTCATCAAGAAGAAGAGCGGGAAATGGAGATTACCGCATGATTTGTGACGAATCAATGCAGTGATCGAGGACATGGGCTCCTTGCAGCCAGGTTTACCCTCACCTACAATGGTACCCCATAATTGAGACATCGTTGTTATGGACTTGAAAGACTGTTCTTTCACAATTCTTTTGCATCCTGACGACGCTCTTCATTTTGCCTTCTTGGCAAGTACCAAAGATCAATAGGAAGGAGTCTATGGACCAATATCATTGGACATTACTACCACAAAGCATGAAAAACTCCCCAACCACGTGCCAAACCTATGTCGCAAAAGCTATCCAACCAGTATGCCAATGGTTTCCAGAGATATACGTATACCACTACATGGATGATATCCTACTAGCTGGACCATATAGTGATAAGGTCCAAGAGGCACTGCCTGCCTTAAAACAAGTGTTACAGACAGCAAGACTCCAAATTGCACCTGAAAAGGTGCAGACCCAAGCACCTTGGAAGTATCTGGGGTGGAAGATTTTACAGCAGACCATTCAACCACAGCAGATATCCATTAATGCAGATGTTAAGACACTGAACGATGTACAGAAATTACTAGGGAATATAAACTGGATTAGACTACAACATGGGATAGACGATTCAATATTGGTGCCTCTCCTTGAGTTATTGAAGGGAGAGGCTGATATTAATGCCCCAAAGCGATGGACTGAGGAGGCTCATAAAGCATTGCAAATGGTTAATGAAAGAATCTCAGCGCAGCAACGCCATCGTCATAGTGAGATCCTCCCCCTTCAACTATATACTTGTAATCAAGAACAACAACCAGTGGCTATTATTGGGCAATGGGACCATAAGGTCCCATAAGGACCCCCCCCCAGTGGTCCTGGAATGGGTCTTTTTACACCATCAACCCTCAAAAACTACTGCAATGCGAGTGGAAATGTTTGCCATCCTCATAAAGAAATTACATGAGAGAATAATTGAATTAGCAGAAGAGCCCAATCTGATTATAATTCCCATAGTAAAAGACTATTTCACCTGGTGCTTGCAGAATAGTTTAGGAGCTCCAAATAGCATTGACGGGATTTGATGGACAGGTTGATACCCACCATCCACCTCATAAAATGTTCTCGTTTTATAATAATAGAAAAATAGAAAAGCAGCCATTGTGCCAACAGCAACCAGTGGATGGGTGGACGGTCTTTACAGATGGGCCTGGAAAAACAGGCAAAGCTGTAGTAACTTGTGAAGAAGGTGGAAAGTGGCAACACCAGACTGAGCAGATCCAAGGTTCTGCACAGATAGTTGAATTACATGCTATTATAATGGCTTTTAAGCGCTGGCCAACAGTACCTTTGAATATTGTATCGGACTCACAATATGCTGTAGGTGTCGCTCAGCACACTGAGAGGGCACATTTGAGACATATCCCAAAGGAAAACTTGTTTCTAAAATTTAAAGAGCTGCTATTTTTGGTGGAGCAGCAAGCACACCCGTATTGTATTATTCACATGGAGAGCCGTACCATGTTACCTGGCATTTTTGCAGAGGGTAACGCACACGCTGACCAGCTAATTAATAAGGCACTGGGGCAGTCAGGGTCAAAGGTGCTGGAGCAAGCACGGTTATCCCATGTTTTTTTCCATCAATCCGCCAAAGTCTTGGCAAAACAATTCGCTATATCGATCACTGATGCCAAATTGATTGTCCAAACATGTCCTGACTGTCAACAATATGTTTCGACCCTGTCTTTAACAGTAAACCCTAGAAGTCTACGGTCCTTACAGTTATGGCAGACCAACGTAACGCATATTCCAGAATTTGGTCGCTTGAAATATGTTCACGTATCAGTAGACACTTTCTCTCATGCTATTTGGGCGACGGCTGTGGTGGGTGAAATTAGCCACCATGTCCAGGCTCACTTCCATGTCATTTTCACAGTGCTAGGCATCCCAAAGGAAATAAAAACCAACAGTGGCCCCACCTATGGTAGTCACTTCCTTCAAACCTTTTTTCAAACTTGGGGTATCCGACACATCACAGGAATTTCTCAAGCCATCGTAGAGCGCACACATCGCACCTTGAAAACACTGCTAATAAACAAAAAGGGAGAGACACCCAGGAAACACCACAGAACAGGTTGGGAAAGGCACTTTACGTAATGAATCACCTATCATTACCCTTTCCTCACAAAGAGGTACCACCCATAGTAAAACATTACAAAAGTATGAATTCTGCACTGTCACAGGTGCCACAATCAGAGCAGGCCTTAGTGATGGTAAAAAATTTAAGTACAGGTCTTTGGGAGGGACCCCATCCTTTAATAACTTGGGGTTGAGGGCATGCACGTGTCTTCATAGGTCACAAACCAAGATGGGTAGCAGCAAGGGGAGTAAGGCCATGGTTGGCCTCCTCCTCACAATCGCTGCTGTCATCGGTTATTGCCAGCCCTAGGTCTCCACACAACCACACCGCAACATCTGGGTCACCCTCACCAACATGACAAGACAAGAAGCGATGTGCCTGTCCCTGGGTAGTGCTAACGACCAGTTTATGACATGATTGGTGGGGATCCCAACAAATAACAAAGATTGGACTATTTGCTTACTGCAAGCACCCCTAGAGCCACAGGAATTAGATATCTTGGAAAGTGTAACAGCAACAGCATGTGTTAGGTTCAATTACAAGGGCAAAAACCATAACCTTGAAACAAATCGTCAATGCCACACTTGCTCCTTATCACAATGCATTTCTTTGGTGTAATTCTACAAAACTATAATAGCATCATTCCTTGTGCCAGGAGCTGCTCTGCTCGGCTGTGGAATCGACTGTGGAGCAGACACCCCTAGGTGCACCCCGAGCATTTTCCTTGGAGGAGCCTCCACTCTCAGCCACTCACCACAGGAGTAGACAAGGACCTCCTGAAGCCACAGACAAGTCATTTTAAATGATATATTTTTGTGGTGTGAATGAAAAGTGCAAGGGGCCTCTTTGCGTAATTGTGCTGTGCGAGTGAGATGCAGCATCGCTGCAAAGCAACATCCCTAGTGCTTAGTGGCTTGTTGACTGATGTAGATTCTAGTAGACACGCTACTTTACAAACGTAATTCTGCTTGTGATTTTCACTGTTGCTTATTGTACCTTGCTTATTGCAATGTCCGTGGTGCTTGATAGAAGTCTATAGAAAGCATTTGGTTGGTTGAAAATAAAAAAGGGGGAATTGAGGGGAAGGAATTCGCAGGTGGCATTGCACATTCACACATCCCTGAATAATGAGGAAATAAGTGGTAGAAACAAAAACTTGAGCAAGGTCAAGATAAATTAACTTGGCTGCAGTGTTAAAGATGAGCTTTGCGCAGTGGCCAATTGCTGGCTGGCTTGAGGCGCCTGTCTGAGGATCTCTAACCCATTGTATGACAGATTCGGGCACGTGGACAGCATATAGTGCTACAGGTAAAGTATATGTAGCAGTGAAAAAAGGCAATAAACATCTCCCGTTCAAGAGCCATCAGGAGTCCGTGTCTTTCGTACATTCACAGCACCTTCAGGACAGCTGTGCTCTTTGAACTCTTCCTCTGAGGGTTTTTGAATACCCAATTTTTCTTTTCCAATCAGTAGATCCTGCAAAGACCACTGAAAGTCGCAATGCGTTGCTTAGAGTTTCTCCTTCTAAAAGGATATTGATGCTACAGTAACAAACATTTGTAGTGTATTACTAATGAACCACAAAGAGATTATTGAAAGGAAATTAATACATTGATAATCCATTAACTGTTCACGCACACAGTAGATATTTTTTCCGGTATTTTCTTATACAGATGTAACTTAATTGAGTCCTTGTCTGCTCAATTCCTTTCCTTGTGCGTCACAGCCAAGAAGTGTCTGTACATTACACAAAATAAAATATACACCAAGGCTTTTTTAAAAGTGCTCAGAAGCAAGCAGCTGTGAATACACACACTGAGTTACTCAGACATGGACACCCCCTACGGTCAGCAACAGTCTTCTGATCACAGCCCAATGCCCTCCACTCACACAGAAAGGCTTTTCCAATATGTCTCCTTATGACATCGCTGAGATAACTAGCCAAAAAAAAACAACAACAAAAAAAAAACAAAAAACAAACCACTAATCATGAAAAACAACAACCCAGAAAAGAAGCCTGTGACTTTGCAGGTGCAGAGCCCTCACTTGCTCCCAGACAGTTTTGGATAGCCCTGTTCTATGTCTGTCATGCTTTAAGGACAGGAAGGAGCATGGACAAAAGTACCCTTCATATGCCTATCATCTTTTTTGCAGATGTCTGCCTCTAAGATTGTCCCTTACCAAACCTAATTTCCACAGTTTACTTCACTGCAGTTTTCCTCTCTGCTTTCAACATACCCATTTTTCTGTAGAAAAAGATGTTCTTCCACTGAAGATTTCATGGATCTCCCTGCCCAGGGACAGGGAGAATTTCAGAGCAAGCAGAAATCCACAGATTAGTTC